TTATTTTTAGTATCAATTCATAATTTATTTAATGAAATTCAAAATTTTTTTTTTTACTTGTAATTAATGTATTAATATTTCAAAAAACTCAAAATTTATTTTATTTTTATCAAAAATATTGTTAATTTAAAGTATAGTATTAATTTAAATTTTTAATAAATTGATATTTTTTTCTTTCAAATATTTCAACCATTATTTATAATAGTTAGTAAAAACAACTTTTTGAGAATAATATAGTTTTGAAAATTATGTGACTAAAATTTTTTTAAAAATGCAATGAATAGCATAAATAAAATGATATTATATATAAATTTCAAAATTCTTGAAAATATGATTAAATTTAATAAAGTTTGAAATTTACATTAAAAATACAATTGGTAATTCCAAACTTTTGTGTGTTGCCATATATATTTTAATAACACAACACTTATAAAAATAATTTCACAATATCGTGATAAGTTAATTGAAACGTAAAAACGCTTAAATTTTTTCTTTTATATAATAAAGATTAAAATACAATAAGTGGAAATAAAATTCAGTTTATATTTGATTTGATTATTTCGAAAGATAACAAGTTCCTCAGATGATAGTAACAATTTAAAGAGTTATTTTGGCTGGTTATTAATAATAGTTTCAATTGATGATTTTGTACATAAAATATTGCATGTACACCTCAATGCTTTAAAATATATGCAAATTATTATTTCAAAAAGAAATAAAATTTTTATTTTAAAAAATTTCTCGATTGATTTTATATGCTTAAAATAATACAGCCATTTTGTCGATATGAATAAGCCTAAAAAAAAAAAAAAAATTTCAAAATCGAAAAAAAAATTCACAAAAAAAAAAAAAAAGAATTCAGAAAAAATCAAAAAAGTCAAGTCAAAAAAATTATTGCCAATATTTACGGCATATTTGGCTGCTTCGAACATAATCCATATATAAAATAGATTCATGCATCTAAAACAATCCTTATGAATAAATGTGTATGATTGGTGATTTTGAGAATATACAGTATTTAAAAGTTTCATGTCATATAACTTTGATGGTTTTAAAAAATGTATACACATACATATTGGTAACGTCATCTCACATGACTTCTGGAAGATAGATAAAAGTTCAACTTTCCATTCTCGAATGCATGGGGTATGAGTGCATTATTATTTGTATATTCTGATGTGAGAGACAAAAGAAATATCGAAAGCGAAAACAATGGAATCTCTAGATTAAATTAGTCATTGTGATTAAGGAATCGAAAAAAAATGGTCTGTGTTGGGCAAAATATCATAACAAATTATATTTCCATTTATATTTCGTGACGGTAGGAAATCTCGATGAGGTTTCTAAAAATATTCAGGATGTAAGGTACAGTATATTCATTTTGAGGTTGAAAGCACATGCAGATGAATTGAATGGGCAGTTCAGCATAAGAATATAATCAACCAATTATCATGACAGCCGATAATAGTTTCATTAATGTTTCTGCAGGTGGTATAACTCTGCTTCCACAAACGATATTAGAAGGAAAGAGGTGTCAAGGGTGGATGCCGAATAGATAATCGCGCAAATTCACAATCTAATTGATTGCGGTTTCAAACCGCCAATTTAATCTCCAGTTTTCCTCTAAAAGACATGGTCACTCAGAGATCTAGTCGAGCATTGCGTAACAAACGGTAAATCGCACAATACGTATATGACGAGCTCAAGTGTCCCACTATTGCTACGCACGCAACTATTTTTACGATGAACCCTTTTGGCATTGACACATCGACTGCCCATCCGCGATGAATGTTATAACCAATAAATCATCTAGATTCCTAGAGGTACGTTATATGATTGTATTCAGTCAAATGCATTGTCATTGTTCGAAATTGCGGAGTTTGGATGTAAAAATATTGTGGGGTACGTTTTCGCAAAGCAGAGAGACAAAAATGATCGCGCATCAGTTGTTGATTTGTGGATGCAGAGAAATGCGCACTTTTATTCTGGTGTTACCTAAAAAAAAAATATATATATATAATGCACAGCAAAGCAAATAATGCCACATCACTTAAGTTCAACAAAGCCCGTCTTAAAAAAAATAATAAAATAAAATGAAATAAAATAATGGATTCTTTTGACATTAAGAAAACCATTTAAACAAGCACAACAATACTCAAAGTTTGCATTGTTCGGATAAGTTCATTTCGTTTGCTTGATGCAGAATACACGCGATGAAGCATCAATTGGTACATCAAAAATTGCTCGGTTTTCTAATTTTATCTGATTTTGCTTAATTTGCCGCCCGCAAATAATAATAATAAAATGAATATGCAAAACGAAAAAAAATCTGCATCTTCGCCAATTCAAACTTTTTTGGTTACGTCATCTTTGAAGAAAATTTTGGACTTACGTAACATGGACTTCCTTATATGCATGTATGGCCCCCATAATCACAGTGATAATCAAATGCGATCTAGCGTAGCCATTATTGTGCTCGAATTTTTTGAAGCGATACGCACATACACACATATATATAACCACATGCTCCTGTCACCCTGGCTGGATAATGGAAAATCCCGGGGACTATTAAAAAAAAAAAAAACTTTCAATATCCAATGTTCTTGACATATCCCGAGTGATTATGTATATGTGCCGTTGTTACTGTGCGTACGAATGGATCGTACACAAGCTTTGTCTTGATTGAATGCAAAATCCTTGGTAGAATGCACCGATCGCATTTAATATTCTCGACAATTTTTAAAGCAGGAATGCCGAATCAAAAAAGAAAAAAAAAAATCACTGACGGCGTAAAACGGACATACTACCACCTGTCATCATCTGCCATTTTTTTTTTCTTAATCTCTCACAATGAAATTACATAATGGCTGCGGTGAGCTACCTTTGTTACCAAATTTCCTGCAAGTTAGGATGGAGATTGGGATAATGGAATTTCCTGTTTTTGGAGAAAACAATTAACGCTAATTAAAAAATCACATTGAGATCCAATTACACAAATTTAGAGGATTTCCGAAGGTTGTTATACATATGAAAAGTGACATCCGATATCATTCTATATATGTATGAGTGAACAGTAAATGGCGTCTAGTTAAACAATGAAAGAAAACAATAATAAAATCCATGTTCAAATTAGGTTTCCATCCTACTACTAGGAATTTTGTATAAAATCTCGAATAGTTCACTCGACAAAAAATTTTCCTTGCCCTCGCCCTTTCTTTCTTCGCCACTTCCTTCTTCTTTTGATCTCTCTTATAAAGAAGTCATCTTCTGTCACCGATTTCACAGAAAGAGAGCGAGGCTACAAGAAAAATGTAATTCCAAGGAATTACCCTAAGCACCATATGAAAGTAAGTGTTGATATTTCTTTTCTTTTCTTTTTTTCTTTTTTTCTTTTTCTTTTCTTTTCCTTAATGCGATCTCAATATATTACTAGTAATACAAAAAAAAAAAAAAAAAAAATAAGCGTCGGAACTCCCCTAAGTAAACCACGAACTGATAACTAGATTACCCACTAGCCGGGTATAATATAATGTCGAGTTAGCTCAATATTCGGGACACGTGATCAGAATGGTCTGATTCACGATCGATCGCTTTTCGTATTTTTCTTTTTCTTTTTTTCTTCTCGTCGTACTCCATCGTATCTCTCGTTCCGGTCGATTTCATAACATGTCGCATTCTTCGGAGATCCGTTATATTAAACAATCGTTTCGAAATTACTTTTCTTTTCTTTTTTCTTTTTCGGCAAGAATCTATCACTATTTATTCAACACAAAACTATATATACTGTAATATTAAAGAACAAAAAACGAAAAAAATTTATTTAAGTTATATTTTTACGGACCCGAGTCTATATACAGTATATTCTTTTTGGATGTAACATCGCAAGCTAATTGTAAGGTCACGTGAAGGCTCGACAGCACACGAATGACATCAAGTTTGGTCACGTGGCCATTCGATGTCTGCGTATCACGTGATATGACGCACTAATATGATTATGCCACGTTTATTCGCCTAATCGGGTAGAAAAAAATAATTTATGCCCACGCAACAACCTAAAATATTTGACAGGAGAGAACGAATCTGATTGTTCCCTGGCAAAAATTCTCTATTGTGCGCAAATCGTCAACAGAAGGAGCAAAGGAAAATGCATCCGCCTCATTATTGCCATTCCCTTTTTTTTTTTTTTTTTTCTCAGAGGATAAAAAGAGGTATGAAGATGGTTGGCAAAATTGCATTTTTGCACATGAGAATTTCATTCACAAACCTGACCAAAAACAAATAAGCCCATAGAACCCTTTTTTGAGGGGTTACCCTATAATTGGTTAACTTTGCGAGCTGTGCTGTGTTATGTGTGAATGAAATGATATTACGATGCGCATCCGATAATATCGATTTGCAGTAATGTTTACGCTCATCGTCCATGCAAGAGCTTTTGTGGTCCTCCAAAGATTAGTCATCCAATAAAATCATGTGATCTTAAACATCTGCGCATTGACTATACCTTTCCTGGAAAATTGTCCCTAGCGTGTCGGCATTTAAATTCGCCATTAATGTAACAAATTTCTCTATTTGTAAAAAACTAAATGAAGGGTTTACCTCAGCTAGTTATCAGCTCATCAGTAACCTCGCTGGCCGATAAATTCCGGTCTCCTGTGTCACATTTCATTGTACGCTTTCGGATTGAAATAATTTAGCTAACCGTCACCGCTAACAAGTTTTGATCAAGATATTTCAAAATTCCGCTGTGTCAGGGTGAATCAATGTATAATGCATAAACAAATTACGCATGCAATTTAACATTTCTTCGACGTACATCTTTATTTATATATACGTAAACATAACATACCGCTTGATGTCTTTTTTCTGCTTGGTTGTGAAATTTTGACCGATTATTCAATTTAACGTGCTTATCTTTATTTTAATTAGTAATGTTTGGAAAATTCAAAAGATCTTTAAAAAGTAAGATGATGAAGAAACACAACAATGATAGCTTTTCCGCGATGCGATCTCAAGAAAGTCAAAAGGAAGAGTTCACAGCCAATATTAATTCGCCGCCACTGCAATCATACCTGGAAACCATTGGAAAAGAGCAAAAGAAAAGAAGGAAAAGAGGGCACAGATCATACAGTTATACATGGGTGGTAAAGGATTTTCAAGACCTGCATGCCGATAAGACAAAGAAATACATTTTTAGTGATTCGTTCGCCTGTCCCATACCCTTACCTTATAACGATGATTATGATGGTGATGATGATGATCGTAAATCTGATGACGAAGAAGTTGCTGATCCTTCGAACTCCCCCAGACGACTATCAACTAGTGCCGATATTGATCAAGATGAAGGCAACACCGAAGACAACTATGAGAAATCCGATTTATCGACAAAAGAAAAGCCGACCAATCAACCACAACTTGAATATAAATGGCGTCTACTTCTTTATCCACACGGGAACCGTAAAGATGTCAACACTCACATCTCACTTTACCTGGCACCAGCCCAGAGTCTCTATGAACGACAAAACTGCTTAGAAACTAGAATAGCGAAGTGGAGATTTGAATTATTCCGCATTAATGAAGAACAGGGTAGTCAAATTATGGGTCTAACGAAATTGGATTGTCATCAGGATGTGATTCAAGAGAAATTCACATTCGCTTCCCGCGAACCAAATTGGGGCATCGTGAAATTTTGCGATCTCAAAAATATATTCACCAACTTTAATCCTCAAGATCTCGAGAATCCTCCGATGCCCACGGAAAAAGTTAACCTCGCGTTTCGGGTTCACTTCCTCGACGAGCAATCCCATTTTACCACCACCGACAACAGCATAGACAATATTAAAATCGATACGTTATTGAGATTGGGTCCTTCCTTGAGTAATTTCTTTAATAATGAAAGATTAAGCGACATAGAATTTACCTTTAGCGATACCACAGAAAAATTGAGGGCTTCAAAGATCGTTTTGGCCTCGAGGTCCGATTATTTTAACAGAATGTTTAATGGTCATTGGATAGAATCCAATACGAATCAAATCCATGTCAAAGATGTCAGCCACAACGTCTTTAGAATCATCATCTATTTTCTTTACACTGGACACGTCGATGAGAACTTGGATTTTGACGTGCTCAAGAATGTTTACTACGAAGCCGACATGAGGGAAATTACGGAATTATCGAGAATGGCCAGTGTTCTGTTGGTTAGGCTGGTGAATAATACCAACTGGGACGAAATGCTGATGTTGGGATGGGAGACTGGTAATTCTCAGTTGTCCGAGCAAGGATTGATGTATGTGAAAAGCCACTGGCCGGAATTGAAGAATACGGAAAAGATGAGAGAATTGAAGAAAGGCGTCGATGCTCAATTTATCAAAGAGTTGGAATCATGCGGTGACGGATTGTAACTATAATTTTCAAAACATAACGGACGGGAGGAAATGGAGCACAGAAACCTTTGATTACGGACTATATATACACACGTTACATACGTATAGTATTACATATCACTCACCTAAATTTAAAATCAACACTTTCGCGGCTAATTCTTCTATCCAGTTAATTCCTTTAGCATAAATCCATGTAATTTAATTTTCACTACCACGTTTGGTCGTCGTTTGATGCCGGATTCAGGAATTCGTGCGAGAAGATATTGAATTCGAGGCATCTCGAGACACAAAAGGTATGACCGGACAACAACCTCCGACTTGGAGCCGGCGAGATGGGGAGAGCTAATGATCAAGTGATGTTAAGTGGTGATTCATATCACCGGACACTAAATTCATATTAAGGGATGTCTACTGATATTTAGTTCATTGCATATTAACAATAATTCATAATATAATTAGACAGCGTTTGTTCCAGAGGTTCCGTATTCATATAAATATAATTTCCAAGTGTAATAATAATGTACTGATTCGCAAAGTTACATAAGCTAAAATCTTCTTCTTTGTATAAAACAATTCATAGCAAAAGTATCATAAAGTTAACGAACAATAAATCATCATTAAAATAATAATAATAATAATAAGTTGCTCAAATAAGTTATCAAAATTTGTTATTCGATAGAAATCAATCATTGGATTTTATAATGTGATCCATAAGGCAATAACGATAGTTTTTTAAAATCAAAGCAATTTCAAATCAATAAATGGCAATAATAATGGTATCAATATTACTGTCAAATCAATGGATCGCTTATATTATAATGTTATATTATCTTGGATTGAGAATCCTTACATAATCCATATGGTTTGTTTTTTTTTTTTTAAACCTCTGTCAGGTTAGTTAAGTGTGCTTTATTAAACATCTGTAAGCTGTACATATTAAATGAAATGCTAAAGCTAAATCTCTAACCAACTCACTCATTTTGGTTGTATTACCTCTCTAAGTATAACTTCGGGAGTAATTTATCACTCTGTTAGAGATTCAGGTAAAGACCCTTCCAACTTCTAACATCATTGTCCACAAGTCATTACTGCAGTTAATATTAAAATTTTATATATTTTATAAAAACTAATATAATTTATATTTTATAACTGAAAGTCAATATCCTTATAGCTGAAAGTCAACCTAACTTACGTTCTGACTTTTGTTTCTACTAACTACTTTAGGGTCACATCTTTAGTTAAGAGTAGGTATAATAATCAATAAAAAATGTGCAATACATATTTACAATTTTGGAACTTGACAAAATAGAGATATATTTATTGATATGGCTTTTAGAGCCAAAATCAGATACTGAATAATATACCTGTGGGTCAATAGTGCAATGGGTACACTCCCAGGTCACTATCTGTGAGTTATTGGTTAAATCCTATTTGAAAACAGTTTTTGCAATATAGGTTATGTTGTACAAGATGCATGCTCATTACTACATGCACCCTTGTACTCACAATTAACTTATAGCTTTCCACCGTCCAACCATGGTATAAAAACTCAGGTTATCCAAGTCTTGGCCAGTTTTAGTGCTAAGGAAATCCTTGATAAACCTGCCACCTGGAATATGTAAGGATCCAAGACAAGCCAAGGAAAAATGCTGATCATTTCAAGCCTCTTAACAGAAATAGAAAAGACATTCACCTCTTGTAAAACTATACCCTATGGGAGATAAGGGAGACTTCGGTTATTTGCATCTGTTGAAAATGTAATGGGCCATAACACAATTAATGGAAGACCTCAATGGATTGTGAAACCAATAGTTACCAAAGAGGACAGCTATTGTGGAGACTGGTGATTAGCATTAACGCCACGTTGGGAAACCTATAGGGGTAGACCCTGGAAGAAGAAATTCAGAAACAATCACCAAGGTAATCAATCCAATGGGAGAAGCAATCCGTTATGAAGTAACTAAGGAATACCCCTGCAAGGCCAACTTGCAAGAGTGATTAAAAATGAGGCAATAGAAGACTATATGCCACCCAATGATATAACACCATTGAATCGTCTGGATGTCAAGATCATAACCAGAGGACTGAGCCATTCAAGCTTCGACTAGCCTGTAGAGGACCCAAACACGATAGAGATTATCTATGGTACTCACTATCATAAAAAAACATGGTAAGCAAACCCATTAAGAAACATAACATAAACCTCCTAAAGATTAATAAAAAGTCACTAGCGGATCTTTGGAATGTTATAGTCCTAGGCAGAGCAGGGCAACTGATAAAAATGGTATCACTATGTGATAAAATTGGTGGAATTAGAGAGGATAAGGTAGCTTAATCAAGGTTATACAAATCGCTCATGTAATCTAACACTACTGAATACTCAATAAAAATCCATCCTGTCAGTTGAACTTTAAAAAAAAAAAAAAATACTGAATAATCACAATCTATAGCACTGCAAACTCAGATTAATTAAAAGAAAAACACATACTAGTCAAGTGGCTAAAATAAACAATTTAAAAAGCATCAAATAAGAATTTCTTTATAATTATTTTAGAGGACTTTAACGAAATATCAGATAGAATTTTCAATAGAACTACTACTAAAAGAAGACTGAAGTACATAAAAAGGATATAATTAACATACTTATAATACTAAACTTCACAAATGCTTACAGATATATTAACTTGAGTACCAAAAGCTACATAGATATCTAATAGTAGAGGATATGTGAAACTGTTTTAAGAACACATTGCTAGAAGTTAGCAAGAAACCCCTTAAGA